GGCCAAGAGGGGTACCTTTATGGTCTCTAACAAAAAGCCCATTGAAGTTATCCCCATCCTCCCCTCATCGGGTAATTGGGCTGGAAAGTCTGAGTGGTGATAGCTTCGGAAATACTAAAATCTGTGAAAAATTAACCAATTTTTCAAGTCCATAACTGAACATTTAAGCCAAAACCTCTTGCTCAAAACTGCAAAGTCCAGACTCCTTTAGTGTAATAAAATCTAACGATGGCTTACAAATTTAATAAAATGTGGGTCATCTTAGCTCTGAAATATTTCTGAAAAAGCAATATTGCATTGGAAGCACTTGTGTCATGGTCACCACCTGCAAATGCTCACAGGGACAAAAGGAGAGCCAACGTGGAGGTGCTGGAACAAAGATGGACTTCTCCCTGGCGGCATAATAGTGGTGTTAGAGCATGATTAGTCTTATTAATGGGAAGGAAAAGGAAGGCTATATGGGTAATTAGGACTCAAGTGCTCTTCTCTGTGAGAGCAAATAAAACTCTTCCTGCAGCTAGAGTTGTATATATAATGAGCATGAAAAATGAAATACCAGTATGAGAGACAAGAGGAAAAACACAACTCAGGTGAAGCAGCCTCACCATGTGCTATTAAAAGATTTCATCTCAATCTTGTCAGCAGACTGGATTACACTGGATTCTAGCATGCACCAGATATAATGTGAATGTGGGTGTAGCTAATTTAGGGTACCAGAAAAACGCAAAATTCTGAAGAAAATGGATAATGGTTGAAACTCCTACACACTATTCCTCAAAGTCTATCAGACCTTTCATTGGCTCCAGCCTTAAGCAAGAGTTTTAACCAATTCCAAAGCACATCCCCCAAAACCTACCTCATTAGGGTCATCATGAGGATTATGGGAAATAATGCATACAAACAGGTTAGCCCAACATTTGACACATATTAGCCACTCCCTAAATATTCCTTCTAATCATCAGAGGGGCAGTTATAGTAAAGAGTATTTTCCCAACTTATTTGGTCTTTTCTGCCCCAGAGCATTTAGGATTGCATAGAACGTAAGCAATGTCCTAAAGTACACTCATACTAGCCAAACTCTAACACAATCACTGTTTGGAGCCTATTATTTGAAGAGATAAAAATATTCCTGGACAGTATTTAAGAGATATTTGGGAGTAACTGGGAGACAAAGGAGAAAAAGCTTGTTGCTGTTGGTTTATTAGACAATGAAGAGTAACTACCACACAAAGTATGTTAGAACAATATCTCTACAAGTTTCTTACTTATGCCCCAAGAATGCCATCAGCTTTAATGAAGCACAGTTAATAAGGACCATTATAGTTTCTCTGTAAATATCAAACATAGTTCTGCTTCCTTTTAAACTTGGCATTCTAAAGCTCTTCACTAGACAATGGGGCTTATAGAAAGATTTTCTGTATCTGCCCTATTATTTACCTCTTTTGGTTAAGTATTTTGTACTTAACATTTGCTTTATGACTAATGTTGAGTATATTAGTGTGTATTACAATTAGGAGTTCTCAGTGGCTTTAAAAAATCCCTAGTAAATATATAAAAACAAAGAGTCTTTTCATAGAATATGTGTTTGACAGTTAACAAGTTGAGTTATGGAGAGAAGACAGAACTAAGGCAACTGCAATTATGATTAGAGCCCTCTAGGTTGTAGCACTCACTGGATATTCTGTTAAAAACAAAAACAAAATAAAAAGCCACTGCGACTAAAGAATGTGTATTCTTCCCCCTTCTTGTAAACTTCTTAGAGATGGTGGTAGATTAAATGGCAAAACCTTAGTGGTAATCTGTTTCCATTTCAGCCAGACTAACTCGTTTCATTATATACTAGAGGCCTGATGCATGGATTCATGCACATGGAAAGGAAATTAATTAGAAGAAATATTTTAGAGGCAGGGAGAGGACTGCAGGAAAGACTGACCTGTCAGGGAGTGATCATGGGAGGTCTCCAGGGTACGTCCAGCCTGTCTTGGCCAGATCCCAGCGGCAAGCTAACCTACCGGTTGAAGCATCTGTCCCTGGTGGTCAGTGCGCGTCATAGTGACTGGTCAAACAGTCGGATACTTAGCATATTATAATTTTATTATATGGGATTGTTACTGTGGCATTAAAAATACATTTGCTGGATTCTTTGGGCAACTTAAGAGCTAAAAGCAAGAAAAAGCAACCAATGGTATGGCTGATAATATTGATCAATAAATGCCTTTTCCCCTTCTCTTTTCCTCATTCCTTTTCCACTACTTCTCTATTCATACTACATTACCACCTCAATTTCTCTTCCACATTCTTTTTCTTTTGACCTCGCCACATCCATGAAGTCAAATGAAACCCAGAGGCACTTCTTGTTATCACACAGAACTAAAGGCATAGAATTTGGATGAACTTCATTCCATGACATTCTTTAGTTTTTGTTGTAGTGATCAGTGTTTAGCAATTAAAAAAAGAAGGAATATTTCTAGAAAGTTAGCTGTTATGTCTCCAGACATTGTCAAATGTCCTTGGGAAGGTTGTATCACTGAACTGAGAACTACTGTTAACCCATCAAATTTTCCCAACCCATTTCTTCTTATTAATCCCTTCAACCTAGGACCCAACCTCTCTTCTGTTTAAAAACCTCTAATTCCTTTAAACTTGCCATTCAGGATCTTTATTTCATACCCTCTTGGCACTAATTAAAATCACCGCAGTATTAGTGGAATGTTTTTAACAGCATTGCTTAGCACCAGAACCTACACTATAGACTCCCAAATTATTTACAACACAATGTCCAATAGAAATTTAATGTAAGCCATATTATGTAATCCCACATAATGTAATATTATTGGGTAACAAGAGAAAATCTAGATGTCCCTGAGCATAGCAATAGCTTTTTAGAGACATGATCCATGAAAAAAAAAAAATTACGATAGACATTTCATTACAATTAAAAACTCTGCTCTGTGAAAGACAATGTCAAGAGAATGAGAAGAGAAGCAAAAAACTGAGAGAAAATATATGCAAAAGGCACATTTTATACAGAACTGTTTCCCAAAACATATAAAAACTCAAAAATAAAAAATAAAAACCAACCTGATTTAAAAAATGAGCCAAAGACCTCAACAGACACATCAGAAAAAATACACAGATGACAAATAAGCACATGAAAAGATGCTCCACACCATATGTCATCAGGGAAATAAAAATTAAACCGACACCTAGTAGAATGGCCAAAATCCAGAACGCCGCCAATGCCAAAGAGTGGCCAGATGTGGAGCAGCAAGAACTCTCATTCACCGAAACTGGTTTGGCTCAGTGGATAGAGCGTCAGCCTGCGGACTGAAGAGTCCCGGGTTCGATTCCGGTCAAGGGCATGTACCTTGGTTGCGGGCACATCCCCAGTAGAGGGTGTGCAAGAGGTAGCTGGTCGATGTTTCTCTCTCATTGATATTTCTAACTTTCTATCCCTCTCCCTTCCTCTCTGAGAAAATCAATAAAAATATATTTTAAAAAAAGAAAAAAAAAAAAAAGAACTCTCATTCATTGCTGGTAGGGATACATAATGGTACTGCTACTTTGGAAGACAGGTTGTAATTTCTTACAAAACTAAACCTACTCTACCATACAATGTAGCAATCATAATGTTTATCTAAAGCAGCTGAAAACTAATTCCACACAGAAATTTGCATACCAATATTCATAGCAACTTTATTCATAACTGCCAAAACCAGGAAGCAACCAATATGTTTCTTTAATGAATAAACTGATACATTCAGACAATGGAATATTATTCAGTGCTAAAAAAAAAAAAAACCACAAAAAGGTAAAGCCATAAAAATATATGAAGGAACATTAAGTGCCTATCAGTAAGTTAAAGAAGTCAATCTGAAAAGACTATATACTGCATGATTCCAACAATATGTCATTCTAGAAAAGGCAAAACTCTGGTGGCAGTAAAAAGATCGGTGGTTGCTAGTGCTTAACGGTAGCAGGGGAAAAGGATGAATAGGTGGAGCACAGAAAACTTTTAGAGCAGTGAAATAGTCTGTATGATACGATAATGGTGAATACATGTCATTATACATCTGTCCAAACCCATAGACTGTACACCACCAAGAGTAAACCCTAATGAAGACTATGGACTTTGGGTGATTATAATGTGTCAATATAGGTTCATCAATTATAACAAATGTACCACTTTAATGGAGGATATTAATAACAGGAGAGACTCTGTATGTGGAGGTGTAGGGGTATGAGAAATCTCTGTTCATTCCTTTCAGTTTTGCTCTGAACCTAAAAAACAGTTTTAAAAAGTCATAATAAAGAGAAGGAGGAGAGAAGTGCTAAATCTGATAGGATTAAGAGCAAACTTGTTTACAGTAAGCCAAACCATACACAGAACATTCATGCACCACTCACAGATGGGGATTTGTTCTGAGAAACGCATCCTTAAGTGATTTCATAGAGTACATGCACATACACACGTAGATGGTATAACCTACTACATAACTCGGCTACATGGTATAGCCTATTGCTTCCAGGCTACAAGCTGTATAAAACAATACAAGATTAAGTCACGTGAAAGAGAAAATGATGCAATGAAATGTTGTAGTAAACACAAAGTATATGATTTTACAGCAAACCTTTTTGTAATATAATAAGTAGAAAGAGTGCATTCTACAAGAATGATTAAAAAAAAAAGTATAGTAAATTCATAAACCAGTAACAGAGTGTCATTTATTATCATTATCAAGTACCATGTACCAAACGTAATTGTATGTGCTCACTTTTTTTACGACTGACAGTGCAGGACTGTTTACACCAGCATCTCCACAAACATTTGAGTCATGTGTTGAACTATGACCTTTCAGTGGCTATGAAGTCACCAGGTGATAGGAGTTGTTCATCTCCATTATAATCTTAAAGAACCACCATGGCATATGTTTATCTGTCCTTGGCCGAAACGTCACCATGTGGCACTTGAGCTACCTAAACAGCTGTGAGCCTCTTACCTTCCATACTCGGGGAGGGGAAAGCAATCATCATTAGCACAGGAAGAAGCATCACTCCATCTACCATTGTACAACTGCGGAGGAAAAAGAGAGATATAAGTAAGACAAAAAATGTAACTGCAGGATGACAAGTTAAATTAAGCATACCACTTTCAAACTGCCATTCAAGGCCTTTCTTACAAATCCCCCTCACATATGTTGCCTTATTTCTTAGTATATTTAAACACATACCCTTTACATAGATCTAAACAAATTATCTTAAGGAGTTAATCAGATGTACCTCCTGCTGGTGACCACTCTAAGGTGATTTTCTCTAAGTCTATCCTCTGACAAAGAACTCAACAGGAACAGGAAAAATTCTCAGCTACATAAGGCTAGGCATTCCCAAAGGATCTTAGATTTGAATTTTATCTTACACTATTGAATGCAGAATTGGCATTAAATTAAAACCTCTGAGAAGCACGAATAGACTGTTCTTACAGTATGATAAAGATTAGGTTGACTGAAATCATTCAAATTACTGTGTTGAGCCTTACTTCCCCTTGCTCTTCCTACAGCCCCAAGGAGAAAAAAGCAAACCTACAACGTATCCCTCATCTTCTGGCAAAACAATGCTTTCCTTTATCAACCTCAAATTTAACAGAAGACAGACACAGACAAAGCAGAAAGAAATCATGTAAATGTGTAATATGTAAAACTGTAACTGAGAGAAAATAAGATACCTGATAAAAATTTCAAGTTGATACTATCCTGACACTACATTGGCAAAAGATCAATGTTATGAGAAAAAAGACTACATAAGAGAACTTTTCCAGTTGAATAAACTTGAAAAAGTTTCAGGAATATGATGACAGTTTGGTTATATGAGTACTTTATTACAAGAAATAATTTTTTAAAATTAAACCTTTGTCTAGTTGTGATTTTCTGCATGATAAAAAAAGAGAAGAAAATGGGTAAAGTTCTTTAATAAATAGGTTAGTGTGCTATCTCACTCTTACATCTTCAAAGCAAAGAGCAAAAGCCTGCTGCTGTGTAAGCAGTTTAGAGTGGATACCTGATTCATTTTCTTAAGATCAAAATCTGAGGTTGGTAGTCTGGTTGTTCATTCCCCACAGCCCCATCCTCTCTTACCAGCCTTCATTCCATTTGTTCAAAATTGTATTTCAACCTATCCCTTCTCTATTAACAAGATGAGGAAGGGGAGTAAAGGAGACATGTTTATGTACTTTCCTTTTTTACTAAAAGAACATGAAATTTGAGTGAGCCCCTTTTACTGTTATAATATTATGCCCATGCTCACTTAGATCTTGTCTATAGTGAGCCCTTATTTGTGACATACAAACTACCTCATCTTGGCCCTCAGGGCCCTCACAACCAGATTCCTCCAACACCACATCATGAACATGAACATAGTGTTGGTTCCATCTGCCTCAAATGCCCTGAGCCTCCTCTTCCACCCCTCTCCTACCCAACTGCCTCCTCCTGCATTAATAATCTAGCTCAAAGGACAAACACTTGTTGGAACACCTCTCTCTCAGCAGTGATTTCAACCCCCTAGGGGTCTAACATCACTCCGAATGAATTCATTGTCTATGTCTGTCTCCAGCACTGGACCACTCGTCTCCAAAAGGGTACATGTATCATACAAGACAACACATTGTCTTGTGGAATTAAGATTCAAAAATATTTACCTTACAGCCCTGGCCAGGTAGATAAATTGGTTAGAGTGTTGTCCCAATACACCAAGATTACCGGTTCAATGCCCAGTCAGGGCACATACATGAATCAACCAATGAATATATAAATAAGTGGAACAACAAATCAATGTCTCAATCTCTTCCTTTCTCTCTCTACAATCAATCAATAAATTTTAAAGGTATTATCTTAAACTAAATGTGTTCACCTAATAGAGCCACAAATAACTTGGGCCTTTATTTGGTCTCTGTCACAATTCCTGATGATAATCTAGTATAAGAGGTATCTTTCAGAAAGAGTAGGAAATATAATGTGAAAGTGTGGAGACTACACCCCCCTTTTAAGGTTTCATTTATGTGGAATTACAGCTCGAATTGGCTAGTTATAATAAAATAAGTCCTCCCCCAATGGGATGGGTTCTAAAATCATTGAAGAAACTATAGATTAAATGTTATTAATCTGTAGAGAAGAGAAAAGTAAGAAAATGTAAAGCTGATTTCTCCCTTCCAAGTAATTTTTCATTAATCACATTTCTAGAAAAAAAACAGTTGACATTCAGTTGAATCTGTCATAAAGTTGTCTCCCTTCCTGGCCAGTGTGGCTCACTGGTTGAGCATTGACCCATAAACCAGGAGGTGGTGGTTAGATTCCGGGTCAGGCCACATGCTCAGGTTGTGGGATCAATCTCTGGTAGGGAGCATGCAGGAGGCAGCTGTCCAATGATTCTCTCTCATCATTGATGTTTCTATCAATAAAACATCTTTTTTAAATGTAAGAAAAAGTAGAATGCCCAATCTCAAAATAAAAAAATACATAAAAATTGATTTTCTCCAATAAATGTTTATTATAAACAATAAACTTTATCCTGAGTG